CTTCAGCTTCTTCCCGGGGACAAAATGCTTGAAATGTTTACGAAAGATTGTTAAATTTATATGGGCATAATCTTTATAGGTAAATACCCGCTACTAAATTAGGCCCTTATAACATTGGTATGCGTCCAAACAAATTTCCTATTTAATACCGGTTTCCTTTCTTAAATGAATTATCATTGGTAACTTTCTTACATTTCTTAATTGTACTACCCTTATTTATCTATTGTTTCGAATTACAAACGCAATCCATACTTTTGGTTAAAAGTTAATGATTTTGCATATCACTGTATTTCTGGACAACTGTTAGCTCTTCCTCCAAAAGCACCGTTTTTTAACATATGCGTATGCACATTTTCTACACTAATATATTTTTCGTGCGGTAAGGGGTGACCAAAATGATCGGAGTTAAAGACATTCATTAGTTGTCATGTCGGATTCTATTACCACGCTTCTTAAATGGAGTCAGTTACGTTTGCAGTTTATTGCAGGAAACCATAGGTGTCCAAAACTGTGTCTCTACAAATATTGCAATATTCGATCTGGCTTTTCACAGGTGTGCATTCCGTCACTCATCCAGTTTAACAACGCCCTCGACCGCATTCTTGGAATGATCGATACAGCTTAATGAGCGTGATCACGCCAAAATATCGCTCGACCTGCCCTAGGCATTAATTCTCTACACACAATTGTGCCGCATTGAATAAATTCGCCATATGTGTTTGTTTATTAACGACCGTCTGGAAACCAAACACGTTTGCAGTGGCATTTTTAAACGAATGAGATTGCTTATTTAGATGTTGATACAAAGGTCTTCGCGATTTATAAATTTTCACCGAACGTGACACAAGATCTTCGCCCCAAGCATTCTTTCTGTGCATTTCCGAATGCTTGTCGTGCAAATGAGGCGAATCTGTACGCGGTTTGCCAGCAATTATTGAAGCCCGTCACTTAAATTACTTACGTCGATTTTTTCTCAAATAAAGCTATTCGTAGCTCAGGCTATCTGCGTCTCAGGCTATCAACGAATAACGATTGGATTTCTTAGGGCACTTGATTTGACCTTTTCCGAATGTGCCCAGTTCTACTACCCCTGATTCATGATCAATTGTCCTAAAGGCGTCGAGGAGTTCGGGAGAATACGTACACCAGCAAGTTAACAGAGGATATACGAATCGTGCTCTTATGCTCACTGTCTTGTTTCCTCCGCTGGAGTAGAGGTGAACAAGCTTCCCATAAATCCGCTGCTGCAGATCGTCATGTTTGAAAACGGAAAGTTCTCGCATCCTCAAGGACGAGTAGAATAGGCACAATTGCCTGGCCTACTAGGTAAACGTAAGGGACATCCGCTCTATTTATGGAACATGCATGTAACTCCATTTGCCAACACATCCATGATGTATTATTGCGGTAATATTTACGCCACGTCCTTTTGTGTGGCCTGTTATATATGTGGTATTAGTCCCGGTAATGTGTACTGCGAGCGTTTGGAGTGATTAGCCTTCGTTCGCCAAGGCGACCGGTTTCATCACTAGTTCTTTTTATTCGAGTTGGCTGCATAGAAATTGGACAAGGAAGAAAGGATGCGGTGATTACTCGGAAAAAATGTCTTTCCCCTGGAATTACAGTTCAAATGCTCTGCATTCCAAACATCAGGTCAAGCTTATACGCAATTGTTTTTAAACATCCTCTCACCTTTGGCGTTACAAATATGTGAGGAAATTAAAAGTACTCCTTTGTCCCTCTCTATTTCATCTCCCAGTGCTGAATTTGTTCGTCAGTGAACGAAAAATGCATTTCAAGGTTGTCGCATAAATTTGTCGTATATGCAACATTTTGGGACGTTTATCACAGTGCAGTAAGCAAAGTGACATACACATTAAACTCTTATTGTGTTCTTGTTCTCTAACTTTCAAACGTTTGAAGGGATGTAGCGACTAGGTAAAAAGGTGTGTGTTAAATGCCCTCCGGAGCAAACACGACTGACACGAGGCTCATGCAGTTACCGATCATCCCCATAAAGTGCACGCTTCACAGAAACACCTAGCAGCATGAACGGCAATGACCGCCGTGTGTCCAAGATGCGATGGGCGCAGGATAGAAACTTATGCGAGGATAACTTTATAACGACAGCAGGTGGGAACAAGACAGTCCCACTCCGTTCCCCTTTACCTAACTCGCACCGTTGGAAACACAATGTCAGGAGGCCTAGTTACAGGCTTGGTCACAGAGGATGTAGTCGCGGTACACCAACTTGTTGATCTGGCTCACGGCAAAATTAAAAACAGATGACTGGAGAGCTTGGAGAACTAACTGCCGCTTAAAGGAAGATATTTATCGCTTGTAACATCAATAACTCAAAAGACTTACAATTTGCCCAGACACGTTGATATTCGTGGTTGGATAGGTTGCTACCTTTAAACCTTCTCTGTACCTACTTCAAAACAGGAATTCAAACTCACTGGCAATTTTCATAAAGGCCCTTTTAATGCATTCAGACTCACATGAGATCTGAATGGCACATTGAACAACTTCGTGCATAATTCTGGGGATGGGTCGACCGGAGGATGTGCAGACAGACTCCTTCGTTTTGTCGTTCACTCCTCACAAGCCCGCCACGGACATCATGGCTCTGTCTTTCCGTCGAGTTTAGACTAGTCGAAGGAAGATATGGCTGCAGCAAATGTGCAAACATGCGTCGCTGGAGATTAATTCAATCGAAGATTACATATTACGCCCTTCCGTTTACGCCGCAGGCGGACGTAGTTGGGCCAGGCCCGTGGGCAACGTCTACTCCGATTGGCGCTAGGGATCTAGCCACAACTTCGGAGGTCCTTGGTTGTACGCAATGCCACGCAACGATGTTGTTTGATTATGCTCTTCGTTCCCCCAGTTTAGTTGCCTTCGGCTCCGTTTAACAGATGCTCGTGAATAACTGTCGTCTCTGATGAGTACTTGGGGTAAATTCACCTCGTCAATTTTGTCGGCTGGCGTGATTTAATGACTTCCCATCTGTCGGAATAGCACACGTATAGAGGTTTGTTTGTATTTCCATGGGTGGTTGCTGTTCTAAATGGGCATTTTATGCGTGTTAGCTGGTTTTCTAGAGAAATATTCCTTCAGTTTTCCTTCGGGTTGTTGGGAGACAAAAACATACAGTAATGGCAGTTCGTAGTCCACTTCTTCCTCCTATCTTCAATTGCTGATCGGGACTGCTTGAGTTCATCTTCTCCCTGAAGGTGTCGTCAACGAATCGTATCCCAGTGTTGAGTTTGTACTTTCAAACGGTCGATTTTCTCGTTTTTTGCAAAATTGCCACAGCAGTGAGTCCGGAGATTGGCTCAACCCATCAAAGTAATCTCATCTAAGGTAAAGAATGCTTTAAGGCAGTGCCACATGTGTTATATGAGGGTCTGGACCGTTAGCCGGCCGTCGCTTGCATAATGTTTGTGACGCAGCAGAGCATCAAGCGTTCCTTCCGCAATGGCATGTGGTAAGGACGTGAAGTTTAAGACGACATCAAATGACATTGGGTTCAGTCGTGACTGCCACCTCGATTTGCCTTCCCCCTATCTGGTTTTAAGAAATTTCTTCCATGATCGGACAATTATTTACCTTGTGTAGTAAATCCACTAATCAAAATGTACTCGATATTTAGGCTCTGCTTCTCTGCAAAAGAGTTATTCATGTTTCAGTATTTCAGTGAAAACAGTGAAAAGGACTCTGAAACAGTGGTCAAAACTCTGCGATAAAGAACTTATTGCACGCCCTACATTAATTTTAAATGTAATTAGAAAAGGTCTGCGAGGAACCTGAAGGTCACTTTCCGTAAGTATACAAGAATTTAAAAGTAAGCGTTGATGAGCGCAGGCCCTTGTAGTTTAAGAGGATACGCGTCTGCGTGGTTAGTGCGTTTTCGATGCCTGCAGTGAGATCAAATTTTCAAAATTTTAAACCACTACGTCAGTTTTGAGAGTTGGTCACGTCTACGTGGTCTTTCCACGGTATCAGAAGTAACTCAGCGCAAATATCATTTTCGTCTTTCGCGACGACCATATAGGGTCGTACGTGTTAGGAGTGTCTATACGTTTGCATCTTCATTACCGAGAAAAACAAAATTCATCAAAAAGTATAGCATGAATGTTGTCATTTTGTGGTCATCTGCTAATAAATTCACTTACATTGTAGAACGGATATATTACTCGGACTCGCTTTGGTATTTAATTTGCGATTGCGTCTACAAAAGATCGCCAGCCTTTCAGTTTCTGTCGCACAAAATGTTACAAGGCTCCTTTCGCAGATTAATTATCTACTCTTCTATTTAAAATTCCAAAAAACCTTACTTTTCGTGTCCCTAATGTCGAGTCATGGTTTTTTGAGTGCCGCGCATATCTGGTCAGGGTTACGCATTGATTTTCTTACCACCGAACCTCTGTAACAACCGACACCTTACAGCGTCTGATGTTTATGATCGTGCTATGTCAGTACCTCAAATAAGACTAAAAGAATCACTATTTATTCCTGATTAAAACCTGATTGCTCATGCGAGCGGTTTATAACGTCATCTACTTGAGCTGAGCGACAATGACGCAACTTGTTTTTTTAATATGCCTTGGAGGCTACAAAATAGCTAGGGTGTTTACGTCATCATAACGGGCAACCGAAACTTTTGCGCTAGCGCTACCTGGAAAAAAGCCCCTACCCTTATCCTCATACAGCGGACTTGCCGTGGCATGAAAGCTGGTTACCAACCTGTTAATACAATTAATTGACCCCGTTAACGATGATCAGTGTGGAGGGAAAAACTGCAACTTTTCATCCTCTTCTCCTTGTTTTGTCACTCTAAAACTGCAACCAGATGAGCGAATTTTAATGAACCTACGTAATCAGCGTTAACTTTGTTTTGACCAAATCTAGGGAATGTCTTGAAACGCAATGCCACTCTGACTCAATACTATATAAGCAACCCTCCAAAACATACTAACTATAACGCTTTCTAAACCATGCTGGGGTTGCAATTTCTCGGTCTGTTCCTGCTTATACAGTTCGCTTATGGAAACGGGGCTGGTAAGTGTGATTTGCCGTTTCAATTTTAAAACGTATTTTTCTTAGATCGTATCCATTTTTTTTAAATTTTTAGTTTATACTTGAAATACAGCGGGGAATTTTTATTGAGTCGTTTAACCACGAGTCTGTCTTGCAGGTTAGAACGTCAACAGTAGAGGCGGTAATTACGTACACATTGATTTATGAGAAAATATCAAGTAAAGCGCCGTCTTGTTATATTTTCGGTTTCATTTTATGGAAGATGTGTATATTTCATTTTAACATTGCTCCAGTTCTTGTGTAATTTTGTACCAAACCTTCCCTCTAAATAACAATCATTCATTTTGTAACGTTTCTAAGAAGGTCGCTAATATGGCACATAGTTAACTATGAAGCCCATATATCAAGTCTTGGAAATTATACAAACGTAGTTTTGCGTGGCTGCAGAACAAAGGAGAATTTTACGTGCAATTTTTTAGAGAACAGTTGCACACATTGAGCAATTTATTTCAGGAATATGCAGGCTGGCATCCTGAAATGCGTATTTCCTTAAAAACGGATTGCTTAAATGGGTTGTAATATTGATTATCGCGCGGCATAACAACATCGTACACTGGACGAGCCTGGATAGCTGCTTTCGACAGAGGTTCATTGTCATCTGTTGGTAAAACCGTACTCGTTAAAATCGACTACTTAACAAACAAGCCTTCTAAACATTGATGTTGGGAGGTCATATAAATTTAAGTCTATTTTATGGAAAACATGCCCATTAATATGCACGATCTCTTTGCATGTCATACTCAAAGAAGGCACAATTTTCAGTTCTAAAAATTTCTAACCATGCGCTTCTAAGATCGCGCAATGTTCATTCGTACATCATTGTGCATGTCATTTAGCCGATGATCCTCCTGAAATGTGTAACATAGAACGCATCCATCGCAAAATTATATAAACAATATACGGTATATTTCTAAGGGCATAGAGGTGTGATTTTCCTTAAGTGGAAGGCACGCATGTTCTAGACTGAAATCGCTAAACACTAATGAAGCGGTTGATCTAAAAAGAAAATATTGTAAAATTAGGAGATTTTTTCAGGACGCTTCTGTTTCTTTTATTCAAGGGTAAATTATGAAAACAATTTGATAGTCTACAAAGCACTAGTCTGAAGTATTTGCAATTACGCCGCGTGCTAATCAATACTATTACCCTATTTGCAAAAACACACCTTCAGAATCTCGGCTAACATCTCATGAGATCTGTCACTCACCGTATGCTGAAGACTTAAAAATTGATGGGAAAACATAACCTTCATTTATGACACGTTTTACCGAGTTTAATTTTTGCAGAGATCCCCGAAAGGCTGCATCCAAAAGCCACCGGAATACATCAGACATACGATGCATGGCGGTCATTCGAACAGTGGCGGTGTATAAGTCTACTCTATCCGGTGCGAGTTTGAGCCAATGTATAGTTATGCATTCACTATGATAGTAATTGGTGTTGTCCTTTATAAAGATTACTCTGATAAGAGATAAGATGGGGCGGTAAGTTCAGCGCAAGTCAACTGTCCCTACGGCCATGCTCTGAGGGGCACGGCGTTGACCTCATTAGACTGAACTCCCAAGCCATCATCATCATAATTATCACCAAGAAGTTCCCATTACCTTTAGAACAGAAGGTGACAACCTAACTTGGTATTATGCATCTGTTATGCTTAGGTTATTTAGTAAAAAAATCCTCGCGGGTTTTTTAATTGGCAATTTAAATCATTCTATTGGCAATTTAAATAAATACTGTTTGCCCGTGTTAATGCAAAAGCAGCCAGTATTGAATGCCCTAACGGAGGCAGTTTCTCTGAAAATGGGTTCTATAGAGCTGGGCAGGTTGCTTACAATAATTAAAACGGCTGACTATACATGCAGAGTCGGTATTTTTCCTGATTTTGTGTCATGTGGACTATGCTACCTTATGTATGCTTTCACAGATTTACGTTACTACCAGGACACTCAAAAACACAAGTACTTTTCCATGCGGATGTTCGTCTTGCAGCCAATTTATTTCTAAGAATTTTCAGAATACCATCATATCTAGAATATACAGAATTGTTTGAATTAATTTGAAAAACCTACAGATATTCCTTAAAAGTGTATAAGTAAAACAAACTCTCAGTGGTACTTCTGTAGCAAAACGTACACGCTGAGAAATGCAGTCGGCAGTCGGTCGTCATACTTAAGGCTGACACGAAGTAGTCAGGAGCCATATATATCACCTGCTGCTTTTTGTAGAAGACTTGATACCCAGAGAATTCACCGCAACGGCTTTGAACTCGACCTCTATCTTTGTGAGCTGGGAGGAACCAAATCGTTCAAGTGAACTCAGCGGCGAGTATCAAATTAATGTTTCCAGCAGTACACACGAGAGGCAATACCACATACGAGGAACGGCGGGCACATTTAGAAATTTGGAGCCGTCTACAAATCACACATTCACCGTGCGTGCGTTTTGGAAAAATGACACACCAGTTGATGCCGTCGCGGTTGCTTTCGCAAAAACGAGACCACACGGTAGTTTAAATTTCATATGCGTTTAACGGTTTTCTTTCGACCCAATAGGGCAGATTAAACGCATTATCATTGTAATTATTTTGGGACACATAATACGGCTTATTTTTATTTGTGTAAGTATTCTGCTTAAGGTGTCTATTGGAATAATTTTTAACGGAAATAAACGATATGTGGCCTAATTGAAAAAAACATTCTGACAATACTGATTAACTGATGAATACATGTACACGGAAGGGAAAATAAAATGCTCAAAATACTCTATACTTGGCAGCGGATTAGTTTTATGTAGATACCATCACCTTGTTTTTGATATTTGAATACTTTAGTTCCCTTATTAAATTAATTGGTCGGTGAAGTTTTTCCGAATTCGAAATCAATGTATTCCTCCGAAGCACATAAGCTCGCAAAGCATATCAAAACTATGTCGGCCGTTGTCATATATGTGATAAGGACCGTGTATGTGTCAGAATGAGGATTGTAGAGTCTGCGTAATCCAAAATTCTTGAATTGCGTCCAATCAGAATGAGTTCTTAATTGAGGGACTAACAATTATCGTGGAGAAGGAAATAATAGGGTTTTTTAGGAGCAAAGTTCACTCTCAAGGCATCACTTTGGCTGCACGTAGGTGTTTTGTTCATCTTCGAAAAAGAATCAGGACTTTATCAAACACAATAGCCGAACATTTATTTATGAGAGCAGTTAGATTATTTGGAGAGTACCTGCGCATGCAAACGAACATTTTCAATTAGACTTCAAATTATTTGTAATAAGAGATACTGTTGCCTTTATATAGCGTCTAAGTAAACGGCGACGACTGGCCCAGGCCAGATCAGTTTTGTGGAAAAGAATGCGAAATATCGATTTTGAAATTTCTTTCTAAATTTTTTGGTGTGATGTTCCTTTTCGAATGCATCTGTCGGTTTTTTATCGATTCGCATGCCAGAGATTGTTCACAGCATTTAAAAAATCCTACTTGGCCCTCATAATTTACTGCGTTATACGTGCGCTATGCAAGGTAACTTGAGAAAAAAATCTCTCAGGGGTGAAAACGAATTCTGAAAACCCACTTAAACACTGAGTGGCATGACTCAATAATCCACAGCCGTTTTCCTACAATTAAACTATTTTCACTTCAAATAATATTTCATATGATAGCCGTAAAGTCTATTAAAGATAACGAAAAAGACATATGCATCAATTCTTATGCAAACATAAGATAAATGAATTGTGCATAAACGATGCCATTAACATAGCAAAACGTTCGGTCCTATGTGGTATCATGTTAGAATTTAGTTGAATTTCCTTCCACAATCCGTACTTTCAATATTACTATGAAATTCCTATCTATATTGTTTTATTGTTCTTGTATTCATTCCTTTCGCTTTGAAGATCATCATCTTTCGTTAAAAAGTGCGCGAGTAACCTTAAATAAATTTAATCTTCGATAGTAGGTCAGTGTAAAATAAGAAACGTTTTGCAACAATTAACGTAAATGTAAGTGTTGATAATAATTCGTGGGCGGTTGCTCTCATTAAGTAAAAGTTTCGGTCCCATTAAGATTACTGCCTTATAATTCTATGTGTTGGTAGTTGTGGATGCTTGAATAAAGTGTTTCTAACCTCTGTTCTCTTTGCAAACGGCGATTCGAGTAAAACACTGACAATGCATACATGACACATTGGAAATAAAATGCGCTAAATTTTCTAAATTCTATCCAATACAGATTATCTTAAAGACAGGTGTACTTCACATGTGATAGGTATAGTCAAACTTTTGTATAGTTGTAACAAAGTCACAAATTTAAATATTCCCCAACAATTGACTCTGCGGCCTCTGCAAAATTTTTACTTTAAGTTATCCCTTGTTAATTTCGCGCCCAATGGTCTCTATGCCTCGCGCAATTAGAAGAGCAAATGCCAAATAACCCGTTGCAATCCGTTTTTGATCAAAATCGCCTGCCCGCCATAAAAAAGCTTTAATTGACACGGTATTCTGCAGCAACATAAGATTTACATAATGCATTATTCGGTTAAGCAGATTTCTTACGCTCTTAACAGTGGTACGCGGTGTAGCATATGAAGCATGGACGTATTTCGGCTAATTTATCCGCGAGTCATGACCGAACATACACAAGCAAGATACACAAATAGTAAACAGTCGTAAAAGGAATTTTAATAATAACTGGTTTGCGTAAAAGTGAGTCACTTTGAATTATACCCAAGAGTTACTAACACAGAAACATTTAGCATGAAAATTATCTTGTTTTCTTTTAAAGAGGGGTTATTGCCCAGAGAATTTACGGCGATTGCTCTGAATTCATCCTCCATCTTGGTAAGTTGGAAGGAGCCCGAACGCTTCAATGAATTCAGCGGCAAGTATCAACTTTCCTTCTTCAATGGACAACGCGTAAGACACTATTACCTGGAAGACACCGAGGGCCAATTCTCAAAGTTGCGGCCTTCAACGAGGTATACCTTCGCAGTACGCGCGTTTTGGAAAAATGATACCCCAGTTGACGCCGCCGTTTACGCCATCGCAGAAACCTTGCCACAAGGTAATCTGCAATTCAAAGCATGCACTTTCTTTTGTCTCTAGCTAAGTACGCCAACAAAATGTCAAAATTACTGGGAGGAAACAATATTGTATGTGTTCTAGTTTTCTTTAGAAGTCTGCTTTTGTATCGTCTCAAAAGAATATTGACTTCTCTGCACAGTTAGATGCGAATCGATATGTTTGATGGGGTACAGTCCTATTAGTATGACGCAGGGTTTGATCGGCCCTGTTGAGTCACGCAAGTTTCAATTATTTTAAAACCCACAATAACATATTTACCCGTGTATTAATCTCATGGTTGGCATACTTCACCTTTAATTCGCACACTTTCGAAAGGTTCATTTATCACAAGAACGACTTTTTATGGAGAAAGTAATACTTAACATAGTGCAACAGAGGCGGCACATGCAAAAGAAAAACCGATTTTTTAATGATTATTATTTGTCAGACTCTTTGCATCACAATCAGAAACAACTGACTGGACAAAACCTGAGCCTCAATGCTTACAGCGTTTTAATGTTTTGCAGCTATCTCTATTTGATCATTAACAAAACAATACAGCCTTTTTTTATAAAAAACATTATCATATTAAACATATGACGTCACTAGTTTGAGCAAATCAAACATCGAATAGTTACATGTGCTCAATAGATAATTATGTATGCCCACTGTTATCACTGAAAGACTTAGAACTCTGATATTGAAAGGAAACGTGCTTTTTCTGCAACTAGGTTTCAATAACAATTAATAAGATAAAATTTTATATTTGATGATTGATATTTCTGTATTTAATCACTGTGTAAATACTGTATAACGCAATGAATCCTACAATGTTTTTAGAACGGAATAACACCGGCGGAGAACATTAGATGTCAGATCTGAAACAGGGTTGTAGACATATAATTTGCGCTATCATAACAGGATACGCGTTAGGGAAATAGAGAAAGACAGAAACATGTTTAAAAAAGGCAAATTTTTAAAACAGTCTACAGAATGTAACGCTTTTTCCAAGCAATGCATTCCGCAGTTTCGATTACCGAAATGTTTCGGGTTTGGTTACAAAGACAACTAAGTGATGAAAACGATACATGCAATGTCTTTTAAGAAAAAGCAACAAAACTGTTTAGTAATATTATAACAAAATTAATATAAGAGAATAACCAAAATAAACAAAACGCGGCTACACATGATAACATTAAATATCGTAAGTATTTCACAATGGACAAAACCAGCCGATTATGAAAAATTAACGGTTGGCAAAACATGAAGCCTGCATAAAGAGCGGCAAAATATGCTACGGAAAAGTTAACAGGGCTGTCGAAAAGTGTTATGAAAATCAACTGACATTTACGACAAAATGTGGTTTAATGAAAATATTTAACGTCATTCGTCGGAAAAAATGGAAAACTAAAGATTTCAAACGAGGCGTCCATCAATGAATCTAAATTAAAAAAAGAAAGCATAAATGACAAACAGAAACACTCGACGAGCAGAGCTGACCGTAAGCAGAGGAAACAAATAAAAAAAAAATGATAAGGAAACATGTGCAGTAAGAAACTCAAAGAAGTATATTATCACAGATTACACAGATAAAAGTAAGTAGAGAGGGTATGCGACAAATGATACCAAACAATGGAACCCGAGACAACTTAAAGTCATTAAAAATTGAATGATTCCAAACATTCAAACGTCATGCATTGCATTCTTTTCGAAACAGATCTGGAATCTTCCATGTCACCTAACCTATCTGAGGAAGAAGTACGTACAGAAGGCAACGTACGCAGTTCTACTAATTCTCCCAGTGAAACAAAATTGGACAACGGTAGTACTCTTATTTTTGTCTCTTTGCATACAACAGTCCTATCAGTGCCTTTCTGACGTGCACGTAATTCATACTTCCGCTAAACATCTACAGCACGTAGATAAACACTGACATTTAGCCTCCAGATACAGACATGATTTCAGTTACGAATGCGCTTCGCTAACCCTTCATCTGCCGACCTTAATTTTCAACAGACGACAGTATTTTAGGATTTTTCAGAATGCTACGATCCACTAAGTTTACAGGAACAAATGTTATGATCGCGTACTGTCTATGCTTTAGGGACATTTTGCTTAAACCGCCGATGCTGGTTTAACTTCCTCAATCATCTCTTTAACGATTGACGATCACTAAGAGTGTACTAGGATGTTTCCTTTTCCAATTTACACGATTTTGCCAGTAGGATTGATTTCCAAGTTATAGAACTCTAATTAATACTCATTGCTTGCATATAACTTTGAACTGATTCAAGCGGCATGTTATACATTATTTTCGCGGCAGGTGAGGGCACATCATTGTTTCCTGACCTAACAGAGGAAGAAGTGCAACTCGGCAATTCCACAAATTCTTCGGATGAAATAACATTTGATAATGGTAGTCTACGTTATTTGTCTTGGTATTTAACGCATCCTGCCACTGTCTATGTGGCCGGCGCTCAATTCAGGATTTTGGTAAACATCTACAGTTAACAGTCATTGCTACATAACAAATGCATAGAGCTTCACGCAGCACGTGTTACACTATTTTGCAACAGGTCAGGCATCTTTCTCATCACCCAACCTCCCTACGAAAGATGTACACACAGAGGTTAACTCCGACATTTCTGCCAATTCTCCAAACGAATCACCTCTGGACAACGGTAGTCCTCATTATTTACACATTTGCATTCATAACACCCTATCATTGCATAACTGCATCAAAATTGCTTTGCTTTTGTAAAGGTCTTCTGGAAATAATCCCTTAAGTGATTATCGAGCGGAGTCACATGAGCGTAATTATGCGAATGCGGTTAAGGCGTAGAAGGCGGACATGCATGCAGTTAAGTCTCTGTGGCTCCCGAGATAGGGTTGTTTGTCTTGAGAAATCTATACATTCCACTCAACGGACTTAGAATCTACCGCCACACGGATTATATTGGTCAGTAAACGCCAGATTTGCAAGGCGGAACACCTTCATATTGAGAGGAGCTCAATGGCACTGATCCACAGCCGATATTCTATGTGATTAATTGATCCCAAAAAATTCAGACGTCATGCATTGCCTTCTTTTAGAAACAAATCTGGAATTTTCCATTTCGCCCAACCTACCTGAGGAAGAAATACATACAGAAGGCAGTGTACGCGCTTCTACTAATTCTCCCAGTGAAACAACATTGGACAAAGGTACAACTCATAATTTTGTGTCTTCGCATGCAGAATTCCTATCCACAGCCGATATTCTATCTCAGGCATTGTAGGCAGAACATCGAAGATGTGTATTTAATTCCACAAATACGTTTCATTTAAGGTCGGCATTTGACATACGGCCAAGATATCCCAAGTTTATTTGGATGTGACGGTATTCGCGTGCTCCGTATTGCATGCATACGGTTTATACAAATTACTGTTTAATACCCTGAATATGCGTAGTTGATTTTCCGAAACTTCCTAAATTCAAGCATGTTCTACAGTGTTAATACGCAAAAATTTTATTTCATTTACTTATTCCAGAGCACATTACGTGTCAGTCTGATGTCAAACTTAAGGTGGAAGTATCTTCAGTTGTCAATATTGTTTTCACGATAGAGGCAACGTACGCGGTTCTACTTATTCTCCCAGAGAAACAACATTGGACGACGGTGGTACACACATTTTTTGTCTTCGCATACAACAGTACTGTCAGTGACTTTCTAAAAGGCCCACAATGTATAATTCCGCTAAACATCCACAATAAGTAGATAAACACTGAAGTTTTACCTCCAGAGAGAGACACGATCTCAGTTACGAATGCGCTTCGTCACCCTTTCAGAAATCTACGTTAATTTCGGCAGACGAGAATGTTTTAAGATTGTGTAGAATGCTGAAATTCCCAGCAAGTGTGATAGCAGTTATAAACTTCCACCAACCTCACAGTAGCGATTGTTGTGATAACATACAATCTATGTTTTAAGGACATTTTGCTCAAACCGCCGATGTTGACTTAACTTCTACAATCATCTCTTCAACGACTGACGATATTCGATTGTGTACTAAACGTTTTACTTTCCATTCTGCACGATATTGCCAGTAGGATTGATTTGCACGTTATAGGACTCTTATTAATGACCATTGCTTAAAGATTAATTCAAACAGCATATTATAAATTTTTTTCGCGACAGGTGAGGTCGCATCATTGTTTTCCGACTTACCAGAGGAGGAAGTGCATCTCGCCGATTCGACCAATTCTCCGGATGAAATAACATTTAATAATGGTATTCTACGTAATTTCCCTTGGTATTTAACGCATCCTGCTACTGTCTATCTGGCAGGCGCGCAATCAAGGATTTCAGTAACCATTTACAGCACGTAGGAAGATGCTAAACACTGATCCGATTTACTTGCAACTTTCGTTTGGATAAATGCAGATCTTTTGAATTTTTTTGCCCCCGCGGTTTCTTTTGTGGCTATCGGTCTACGCAATTCCGTTTTATCTGTTTGCACAAGGATACATTATATTTCAAATTATGCTTATATTTATGGGATCACGCCACATTAATTCACTGTTTTCGCTGCTTACGCCTAGTCACCATTTTGGAAATTTATTTTAAACTGCTTATCCTCTCCTACCTCCGTATGATCATTTTTGCAGTTGCATTTGTCCAGTGTGCTTTTGTTTAACAGATTAATTTTTAAATTTCTAAGCCTTTGCTCAACCGATTTCTAAATATTTATTTGGCTTTCATAACACTCTTTTTGGTCGTTGCATAAGAGCTTAATGTTGACTGAAACGTTTTAGTTCTCTTGTTTTTTCTTTTTTATTCTCGTTTTTTTCATAATTAGATTTTTTAACTCTCTTCGTCTGTAATTTTCTATTTTTCCGTTTTCTATCTTTCCCTTATTTGTTTTTGTTCCTTAACGTCTTTTTTCTTTTATTTTTTATTATCTTCTCTCCCTGTTCTTTCCCGTTTTTATTCTTTTTCTTTTTGTGTGTTCTTCCTTTAGTTGGTTTTTGCATCCATTTAGTTTGCCCACTTCTCCTTTTCAGAATGCTTTACTTTCTCCCAAATCTACTATATTTACATTCTTTTAACTCGATATTTTTGAATGCATTTCTTAGTCTCACGCTCGCTGATTTTTTAGTGCCTCCACATGATTTGAGCTTGCGTTTTCACATTGGCTTCATTTATTTGGCTGCGTTACGTTGTTTGAATTTGGATAATTGTACCTTTATATTTCGGTCTGTAGACTATGGAAATGTGGAGGAGTTTTTCTGCTTGCCTGCTAATTTCGCGATGCGTACTTGTGATCCAATTTGGTTCTGCATATTCGCGTGGCTGTACTCTAAGATGGCTCCCAGACACATCGCTGACGCTTGCTTTCAGCAAGCAGGGAAACGAAAGACACGCATATATGCAGTACACATTTTTTATAATTTCTTGATACACCCAGGAATTCATTTTTGCATCCAAACTAAACGGTCTGCAGGGTATTACAGTAAAGACTCTTGCTGACTTTATTAACAGATAATTGAGATTTGGCGTCAACATATTAGTGCGTCATTAAATAGCAGCATGTATTCCAGACAGCGATGATGTCATAGTGCACGATTAAGTGTTTTAGAACGACAATCTCTATTGAATGATTATTAATCATGTCCCATTAACACATGTCACATTCAATGATGCCAGATTATACGTGCGGCTGTTTTCATCCGCATACTGTGTCATTAGCGCGTAATGATTGTTATTCTGATTTATTCAAAAAGGAGGACGATTAGGTCCTGAAATATATTTTAACATTTTTTTTTGTTTTCCTATCTTTTAGATGCTGAGACGTTGAGTTCCGCTCTTTCAACTCTTAGTGAAACAGCCGAAACTGACGGACATGATGACGCATTGAGCAGTGCTCCTTCTATCGCTCTTTGTGCCAAGCTGGCCAATTTCTTCATTATTTTTGTTTCTCTAATGGGGTTGCGATATCTATGAACCATTACATGTTGCGGAAGTTAACAATATTTTTACTTAGTGGTTTTCCTCTCTCTTTCGTTTTTTTCGTTTGCCCGCGTTAAGCTTTCGCCCATTTTTGCCACAACTTTGCCGCTGAACAAGCGAAAATAAACACATTTCCTTTTTTTGAGATTTTGTTACCCAGTCTCACTTTTCAATAAAATATGACATTCTAATGTATGCCAGGTTGAACTTTAAACTTAAATCACGTCGGCCATCCTTGTGGGCCTCTTTATTCCCGTTGTCCGTCGTTGTTCATCCGACTTTAAACACTGTTTCTTAAGTCTCTTGTGCAATTTGAAGGACCTATTTACATTGCGACAACTGCCCAAATGACTTAGTGTTGATTTAGGGCTGCTGGACAGAAGACCATATCAAACCCTTTAAATGGCACTTCGAGGGCGTTTGCAGCGAGATTGCAATGTAATTGCCACTTAGGTGCTTTATGTCATAACTTGGTACGCTTTAAACGCTCCCAAAAGACCTATTCTGATTCGCCGTACAATGGATGCTGAGAATAGAAGTTCCGTCCAGGTATTCGGCGTTCGACGATTTATTCAGCCAATTCGTTTTTGGAATCCAATGTAGGGAATGAAGGAGTATGCGAATTTTTGGGTTTGATATTTTTATAACATGACGTATTTACTGCTTACAGGTGTGAAGTTGCGATAAAGGACATCTTCTCTTATTAATTATGTCTGAAATAGAAAGATCTGTCAATGCTGGGAGTTGACGGGAGTTGTCGTCTAAAGACGTCTGAGTTCTGATTAGCACTTTAGACTACTACTTTATTTGTAGTAAAATAGCCGTATATTCTCGTCGGTGTTGACAGGTGGTCATATTGTAATTTTGACGAGTTGGTATTTTGTTGCATGCTTATCTTACTCTCCAAACAGGCAACTATTTGCTGCTTTAGCAAAAAATTACTTATACATGTGACATCTCGACAAAAATAATCTGCAGTCAGACGTGAGCTAGAGTTCGCGGGCATTTGCAACGCATTCTCTCTTGCATGGCCTAACACAACGTAAATTGAGTATTCGCTCGACAGTTCTGTAAGCATAAATTAGGACGATGACATATATGTGGCTGTAGATGGCTGTTTGGCGTTCATATCCTGCGTTCATTCCATATTCCTACAGAAACGTCATCGACTGTTTCACATTGTCCGTAGCGTCTTCATTAGCATGTCACGGAATCATCTCATAATCTGCTCGAAAAAATAGGGACTTCTAAATTTAGATCGCTTTTTCGGATGTCGTCACGTCGATTAATCAAATGATAGAGCAGTCATCACGCCAACATTTAACATATGTGATGAAATTTAACAATAAAGGACGCGAATGTTGACCATTTAACAGTCATCACACCAAGTGCAACTATCTCTGAGGAAGTGAGGAGGGGAGCCGTGAATACGCATAGGTGATTTGTAACAAGTCCACTGCGTCCTATAAATAGTTCTGCCCCTCGTGCATGAACCACCCGTATCTGCTTTGGTCTCTGGTGGTGGGTTCAAACAGGATTTTGCAACGTCAGGCGAATAAAGATTTGTCAGATTGCTCGTGTCTCCTTCTTTCCGACAGATTTTTAGGACTGGTATCTTTGCGTTTATTGGAAACAACCATGCATCCTCATCAATATCGTTTGATGATCATATATATTGTTCACGAGTTTGAGGTTCGGTGCAGGATTATCGGTCTCTAGGTACTGTCACGCATTCGTTGTGTAAGCAATGACACAACGATTCCTGTGCAATTCGACTAAAAATAGCCCACAGTTAGTCGTAAACAAGAGTTCGTACGCAGATGAAACGCGGTCTAGCTAACATGACCAAAACCAACGAAAGGCGGCTTATCAGGCCATACGAGTGCGTTTCAATCAACGGAATCAAAGGCAGGAAGTCAGAACCACAAGTCCAAGTGAACAAAGTTCGCGCACAATCGCCAATGACGGGAAAAGGCAGGCCAATAAAGGAGACACGGGCAACGGGCCAGCAACCACCATGACTCCTTACCCGCAACCCTCCCCACACGCTAATGTTTCGTCCGTCAATGTTTGTCCTGTCTCGTCTATTAGTCTAGTGTGACTGTCTCACTCTCGCTTTTCTCTTCAATTCGTCTGACGACGGAATGATGTCCCTAATCCGAAAATTCACGAGTACAACTCGATTTTTCCGAGGAACCTCTTCCTTTTTCATATATACATATACATCGTGGATAAGGAAGTCAATCGTTCCGTTTTGCCTTAAGGGCTCTCTCTCGAGCCCAACCAGCAGCCGCACAGAGGCGCATGATATATAGGCAGAATAGCATTACCGACAAAGACAAGGGAGACTGGAATGGCCATTTCTGGCTTATTAGGCGTCGTCAGCCAGCCATACCCAAGCCCGAAGTGTGGAACACCCGGGCCTCGAGCTCGCGACCTGTTGGTTTAGAAGTCAACGCCTCTATCCAGGGGGCCACGAGCCCGTTGCCTTGTCGGTTTTCGATGGGGAATTTACAGTGGTAGTGGGCGCTCACCGAACGTGGATATGGAACTCACTCGTTCCGTTGTGCCTTAAGGGCTTTCTCTCGAGCCCAACCAGCAGCCGCACAACGGCGCATGATATATCGGCAGAATGATATTACCGACAAAGACAAGGGAGACTGGAATGGCCATTTCTCTCTTATTAGCCGTCGTCAGCCAGCCATATCCAAGCCCGAAGTGTGGAACACCCGAGCCCTTAATGCAAAACGGAACGAGTGAGTTTCGTATCCTCGATTGGTGAGCGCCCCCTAACAATAAATAAATATATATATTCTAGGGTAAGGTGACACCATACTAACAGCACAGGTACCAGCCAAAAGCCCATACACGCGTGTTTCGCCGATGTTTTGCCGCTGCATGGCGCAGCTGCGAGGGGTTCGGCTCGTCAGTGGGTCCCCCAGCATTCCCCGTGTGTTTTCTGGTAGATACTCCAATTTAGAAATTGTCACTTTTTAATTTCCGGAGAAATGTTTTGCGAAGTAGGAGTAGATCAGTATATTCAAGGTCTATAGGCACAGACCGAGAATTTTATACATGAATATTTGGGCCAAAGTCCATCAGCCACAGCGGGTAACCGCGTAATATTCATTAACTGCCTACAGGCAGCTAGTAGTATAATCTAGGGTAAGGTGGCACCATACTAACAGCACAGGTACCAGCCAAAAGCCCATACACGCGTGTTTCGCCGATGTTTTGCCGCTGCATGGCGCAGCTGCGAGGGGTTCGGCTCGTCAGTGGGTCCCCCAGCATTCCCCGTGTGTTTTCTGGTAGACACTCCAATTTAGAAATTGTCACTTTTTAATTTCCGGAGAAATTTTTTGCGAAGTAGGAGTAGATCAGTATATTCAAGGTCTATAGGCACAGACCGAGAATTTTATACATGAATATTTGGGCCAAAGTCCATCAGCCACAGCGGGTAACCGCGTTATTAAAAGTGACAAATATATATATATATATCAGCAAAGAGGGACCACAGATAATGCGGGTAGATTGATACAGTACTGTTTCGGGCTTATTGTGCCTTCATTCAGCCAATCATAACCCTGACCATCAGCAGCTGGGACCAGAAACAAAAAACATGCGCACAGACGCCACCCATACGGAGCTCGTTTGCTTCGTGAAGCCAATAGATCGGTGTGCGCCCTTTCCTGATTGAATATATATATATATATATATATGAGATGGTACCGACAAAGACAAGGGAGACCGGAATGGCCATTTCTGGCTTATTAGCCGTCATCAGCCAGTCATACCCAACCCCAAGTGTGGATCACCTGAGATTCGAACCCGGGATCTTTGGTCATGGAGTTGAACGCTCTACCATTGAGCCACGGGCCCGTTGTCCTGTCGGTTGTGATCGGGAATATTAATTATGATAGTGGGCGCACACCGATCAGGTTACGGAACATGCTCGTTCCGTTGTGCCTTGGGGCTCATACTTAAACCCTCGCAGGCAGTCGCACAGCGACTAGTAGTAGACATAGATGAGATGATACCGACAAAGACAAGGGAGACCGGAATGGCCATTTCTGGCTTATTAGCCGTCATGGCCATTCCGGTCTCCCTTGTCTTTGTCGGTACCATCTCATCTATATCTACTACTAGTCGCTATGCGACTGCCTGCGAGGGTTTAAGTATTAGCCCCAAGGCACAACGGAACGAGCATGTTCCGTAACCTGATCGGCGAGCGCCCACTGTCATAATTAATATTCCCGATCACAACCGACAGGACAACGGGCCCGTGGCTCAATGGTAGAGCGTTCAACTCCATGACCAAAGATCCCGGGTTCGAATCTCAAGTGATCCACACTTGGGGTTGGGTATGACTGGCTGATGACGGCTAATAAGCCAGAAATGGCCATTCCGGTCTCCCTTGTCTTTGTCGGTATCATCTCATCTATGTCTACTACTAGTCGCTGTGCGACTGCCTGCGAGGGTTTAAGTATGAGCCCCAAGGCACAACGGAACGAGCATGTTCCGTAACCTGATCGGTGAGCGCCCACTATCATAATTAATATTCCCGATCACAACCGACAGGACAACGGGCCCGTGGCTCAATGGTAGAGCGTTCAACTCCATGACCAAAGATCCCGGGTTCGAATCTCAAGTGATCCACACTTGGGGTTGGGTATGACTGGCTGATGACGGCTAATAAGCCAGAAATGGCCATTCCGGTCTCCCTTGTCTTTGTCGGTATCATCTCATCTATGTCTACTACTAGTCGCTGTGCGACTGCCTGCGAGGGTTTAAGTATGAGCCCCAAGGCACAACGGAACGAGCATGTTCCGTAACCTGATCGG